TTGAAAGAGTGGAAGTTTTAACTGTAAATCTACACCATTTGTGGTCATGGGGTTTTTATTTTTTATTTGTTTTGGTACTGGGGATCGAACTTGGGACCTTGCGCTTGTGAAGCAGGCGGCAGCACCACTGAGCTAAATCCCTGGCCCTGTCATGGGGTTTTTAATTCATGAAGGATAGCCAGTTGTAATTCTACAAATAGTGGGTCCAACATAGGGACTTTAAAATAAATACGTTTAAAACTTAAAGGAAAGTTTAGAAACCACACATTCTGTATCAGTTAACTTTTTGCAACTTTATATGCCATTCCAAGGCCTAATGGCCAAGACAACTATTTACTATTGCTTAGAGTTCTATAGGTTAGGTAAAGGGTTTGTAGGGTCAGCTGGGGTTGCTTAGATTGGTGTGGCTTCACATGCTTGGCAGTTAGTGCTGGGTCTCACTTGGTATTTGTTAGCTGCATTAATGGAAATATTGGGTATTTCTCTTATTACCCAGTGGATTAACAGGCTTCTTCACATGGGGGTGGCCATATGCAAGAGCAGCAAGACAAAAGCCTGAATGTGCCAGTGCTTTTCAGGTCTCAGCTTGTGTCATATTTCTGCTGTCCTGTGGCCAAAGTCAGTCATAAGGCCAGTAAGAGTCAGACTGGCAGGGCACCACCAAAGAATAGTTACAGGGAAGGGAATAACTTGTAGCCATTAAAAAAACAACACAAAATGACTACTCTTTAAGACAAAAACCAGTATATAAAAGGATGAGACAAGAGTGAAAGTGAGCTAAATATAGCTAAGCAGAGGATTGATAAATTGGAAAATAGATTTGGGGAAACTTTAATGTATGTCACAGAGATAAAAGGTAGAAAATATGGAAGAAGTTGAAATGTGAAGGCTAGAATAAAAAAGTCTAATATACATATAACAGTAATGTTAGAAGAAAAAAGAATGGAGGTCACGGTATTAATCATTAAGGAGCACTGCAGAACTGGAGAAATAAGACTTTTTTTTTTTTTTGGTACCGGGGATCAAACTTGGGTCCTTGCGGTTGCACAGCAGGTGGCAAAACCACTTAGCTAAATCCCTGGCCCAAAATATGACTTCTGAGATTGAAGGAGCACCCTACATCCTGAGCAGGATGTATAAAAATGAACCCATACAGAGACAAAAGAGAGAATTGTAAGAACATACTGTATATTTGTTGTTTGGTTTTTTGAGACAGAGCCTCGCTGTGTAGTTCAGGATGGTCTTGAACTCACTATGTAGTCCAAGTTTGCCTCAAACTCATCGCGATCCTCCTGCCTCAGCCTCTTGAGTGCTGGTATTACAGGTGTGTGCCACCATACCCAGCCTCTTCATCATTTTATAGATGAGGAAAGTGAGGCACAGAGAGGGAAATTAACCCATAATTGTGTTTGAAAATGTAACTTTTAAACCAGTTAAGGTAAGATGATAAACACAGAGACAACTGTTTTGAAAAACTGAGTTTACTCCTTATAGTTCCCAAGGGATAGTGGACACTACACACCATGCAGGGTCATGTGGGAAAGTACCAGGGTCAGTTTGAAGGCATAAGGAGAAAGGGCAAAGCATGGGCCACAGCTTTGCTTGTGGATTTCATGGGAAGAAATGGATGAGACAGGGTAGGCAAAGATTGGGGAGTTTGAATATCTCAACAGGCTTTGAGCTGCAGGGGTGGTCCCTAGGTGCTTGGGACCTTCCTCTGGGGTGGTTTAAACTCAGGAATACTGACTCGCTATGTAAATGTTTGATAAAGGAGATGGAGGGGTTATGGGCCAGTTTCGTTTGTTTGGATATGAAAGGTGTTCTAGCAGGCGTGCTCTTTGCTCTCCCTAGCAGTTAGCCCAGGAGGGCAGTTACCCCCAGGTACACAAGACCTTGGGAAGTCAAAGCATTAAAAAATAAAAACTGTGAAGCAAGGTGTGGTGGTACAGCTACTTGGGAGGCTGAGGCAGCCTGGGCAATTTAGCCAGACTGTCTCAAAATTAAAAAAAAAAAAAAAAAGACCGAAGCTCAGTGGTAGGGCACTAGCCTGGCATGCTTGTTGGAGGCCTCGGATTCAATCTCCAGTAGCAAAACAGAACAAAACCCCAATAAAAAAACAACAAAACAACCAAAAGCCAAGTTGCTGGTGAACTGGTTTTGAAATTAGGCAGTGTGTTCTACAGAACACATTCTTAACCTCTTTGCTATTATTTTACCTACAAAGAAACAATAATTAGACTTAACCAAAAATTTCTTTTGAGCAACAAGAAGAAATACCAGTGGAAATACCATTATGTGCAGATGGAAACCTAATGCTATTCTTTTTTTCTTTTGTACTGGGGATCGAACTCGGGACCTTGTGCTTGCGAGGCAGGTGCCTGAACCACTGAGCTAAATCCCTGACCCCCTTAATGCTATTCTAAACTTTAAATCCAGAATTTAAACAACAGCTTTTTTTGTTTGTTTTTGTTTCGGTATGGAGGATCAAACTCAGGACCTTGGGCTTTCGAGGCAGGTGGCAGCACCACTGAGCTAAATCCCCGGCCCAAAACAGTGATTTTTTTTTTTTTAGCATGTCTGACCTAAGTCTTGAGTGTTAATGCATAGACCCTCCTGAATAAACTTGTCAAAGGGTGTGTAGTATCTTCACTAGTAATGATTGGAACCCAGAAGGAGATTGTGGATATAACAAGCAATACTAAGGAAAGAAATTGACAAGATGTTGGTAATTGTTTAGATTTATCCCCTCTCCCCCTCTCCTCCATCTCTCTGGGGATTGAACCCAGGGCTTTTGCACTGGGGTTCATTCTCAACCCCCCCCACCCCCCTTTTAAAAAAACAAAAAAACGGGCCTTGTTAAGTCACCAGGTTGCCCATGCTGGGCTGAAATTTGTGATCCTCCTGCCTCAGCCTCCCAAAGAGCTGGAATTGGGGCATGTGCCACCACTTCACCTGGAGCATTAATATTCAAAAGCTGAGTGGAGGGCGCCCACAGACCCATTCAAAGCTCGATGAGAGCGAGGCTCTGCAACCACATTCATGTCTCACGTTTCTGTGTCTAACAGGTAGTAGAATGAGAAAGAGTAACCAGAGGTGTGAGAATAAAACTGAAAGACAGTATCAGTAGAAGCTAGAAAAGGAGAGAAGTTTAAGGAATGTTTGTATAGTGTTTTCATAGTAGATGTCAGGGTTGAAAGAAGCAGTACTTGTTTGCTCTACATTTTTTTAGTGCAGTATTCGTAGAGTAAAATACAAGTTGGTAGATATTCAAGCTTTGTTTAGTTTTGTGAGCACCTGTATCATATAGTTTTTGTATCATTTTTACCGTTGTTTAAGCCTCACAGAGAAGTGGCAGTAATCATTAGACAAATGGGAAAGTGAGTTACATGACCTTTCAAACAGGGACCTTTCCAAGTGTACCTGTTGCCAGATTTTGTGCTTAGTCACCAGTTGATGTGATAGAAACATAGTTAAGAAACGGTTTAACCTGGCAAGTGCAAGGACCCGAGTTCGATCCCTGGTACCAAAAAAAAAAAAAAAGAAATGGTTTAAAAGTTTTGTTCGGTAATTATTCATGTACACCAAGTAACTCTCCCCTAATCCCTGTAAAGCTGCTAGAAATTTTGAATATGTTGACACAAAGAACCATTTCTCACGAATTCCTCAAAGAATCTTCCTTAGCAAAATGAAAAAAAAAAAGGGCTTAGTCTCCAAAGACAATCTAATATGGTTCTAGATTATGCAGTTGTTCTAGAAACTGTCATCATATTTTGATTATCTTTGCTTAGTTGATAAATAAGTGAGCAGTTGTTCTCCTTTCATAGTGTACCAGCTATTTCAAAGGTTTTAGAGAATGTTGATATATGAGCTTAAGAAGCTAGAGAAAAGCTAAATAATTCTGTGGGTTTTCTAAATACATCTTCTATACTGAGCGGCTTTTCATTTCTGTGGGGCCTTTAGTCATCAAGATAAATGTGCATTATATATACTTATGAGGTGTGATTAAAAAATAGTGAAGGTCTAAAGACACATGGCCATTAATCCTCCTCACCCCTCACCTTGAATGTACTTCTGCCATTGTTGCCATTTCCTGAAGCAGTTCCAGAAGTCCTCTTTCTGGAGTGTCTTTAGTTGTGCTGTTACAAGTGCCTTGATGTCATGAATGGATTCAAAATGTTTGTCTTTCATGGTCATTTTGACTTGGGGAAAGAACCACAAGTTGCAGTGACAGATCCATTGAATAAGGTAGGTGAGGACACACCACAGTGTTTTTAGTCTGTCTTTCTGTTGGGTGGCACTCAGCAGCACCATTCATTGAATTTTTTTATCACACCTCGTAAAGACACTTGAGAAAGAGGACTGCTTTCCAGAACTACTTCAGAAAGTGTCAAGAATGATGGAATACGTGTGTTCAAAGTAAAAGGGAGTAGTTTGAGGCACGTTCATGGCAATATGTCTTTTAGTGTAATAAATATTTAAACGTTTAAATATCATGTATCTTGATCATACCTTTTATATATTCTTCAAAGACATTTTTTAAAATGCTGATTCTGATTAAGCCTTATTTTTCTGGTTTCCTATTAATCACTACTCAAAATTGGACACAATTTTTTTTTTTTGGTACTGGGGATCAAATTCGGGTCCCAAGCGGCGGAACCACTGAGCTAAATCCCCAGCCCTGTACACAATTTGAAGAATAAAGTACTAGCAAAATTTATTCTAATAAGTCTGTTTTTATAAAGTTTTTAAAGGGGAAACATTTTTTTTTTTTTTTGGTACCAGGGATGGAACTTGGGTCCTTGTGCTTGTTCAGCAGGCAGCAAAACCACTGAGCTAAATCCCCGGCCTGGAAACATTTTTTAATAGAAATGATCTCTTCCTTGTCTTGACAATTTGAACTCTGTGAGCGAGCTACTGTGATGGTAGCATGTTCTTATAGTTTTTTAAATGTTGATAATTGATGCTAAATTACATTTGTCGTAATTGTTCTACTTATATAGAATGTCCCTGGCTGCTTATTGTGTCATCTGTTGCAGAAGGCTAGGCACCTCTACTCCTTCACCAAAAAGGCATACTTACTGGAGAGATATCCGTGAGTACAGTTTAAACAACTCTTTTTTTTTTAGAGACAGAGTGATCACATTGTGGCTAGTTTTCCAGAGTGGACCATAAAAACTTTAACCCATGAAAAGTCTCAAATGTATGTCTCTCTGTACTAATGGTTCACTCCAGATTTGCAAGGCCAGAACCATATATGGTCATTTTTCTTGGGAATTCTCTTCCCTCCCTTATTTTTCCTGTCAAATTCCTACTTATCCTTCTAAACTGAGGTATAACTACATTCTTATTTAGCAGACAGTTTTTAAGTTCTTAAAGTGCCAGCAGGACATAGTGGCACACACTTGCAATCCAAGCACTTGGGAGGCTGAGGCAGGAGGATTGCTGTGAGTTCAGGGCCAGTCTGGGATACATAGTGAGTTGAAGACCAGCCTGTACTCAAAAAAGGAAAAAACAGGGCTGGAGATTTAGCTCAGTGGTTCTGCCGCCTGCCTTGTGCCCAAGGACCAGAGTTTGATCCCTGGTACCAAAAAAACCAAATGAACAAACAAACCAACCGCCCCCCCCCAAAACCCAAGATGTCAGCATCTGTATTAGGTACTGGGAATACAGTGGTGAGCAAGGGAAACAGCCCTTGCCTTACTATGACTTGGGATCTGCCCTCATTCTCCTTGCTCCCCAACACACTGTACCCATGCTTTCTTCTGGGAAGCTTCCCTGACATCCTTGGCCAAGTTAGAGCTGCTCCTTATCATTCAGTAAAATCAATATTGAACTTGGTTAATCATCTGACTTCTTTCATAGACTTTAAATTGTAAGAGTAGTTTCTTGTTTATCGTTTTATCCTGTTTACTGTTGTATATGGCGTATAGAAGGCATTTGCCTAGTATTTTTTTGAATGGAAGAGAGAAATGTCTTACCTACTCTGAGCACTGTTTATTTGTAAAATGAGAAGATAGGTTTAGCTCATCTTTCATTCACTTGACAATAAAAAATTATTGACCATTAACCATGTGCTAGACACTTTTCTCAACCCCCAGGATACAATACTAAGTAAGATCCCCTATCTTCATGGAGTTTCCTTTTGATCTTTAAAATAGATCTCTTTTTTTTTTGTTTTTTTGAGGCAGGGTTTTCCTTTGTAGATCAGGCTGGCTCTGAACTCACTATGTAGCCCAGGCTGGCCTTGAACTCACAGCAGTCCTGCCACAGCCTCTCGAGTGCTGGGATCACAGGTGTGTGCCACCATGCCCAGCTTAAAATAGGTCTATTTGCAAGATAGATCTTTTTTACCTAGGAAATTCTGACTATATTTTAAATAGAAAAGGTGAAGTGGAAACAGAAAAGGGAGTGTTTCTTCTCTTATCATCTACCAGAACAAGCACTTTATAAGGCTCACTTTGTTGGACTTACAAATGAATTGAACTTACAAACATTATCCTTTAACAGAACTTGTTTGTAAATTGAGGACTTACTGTAAACTTGTAACCTGTTATTTTAAGTGGGGCTACCTGTTGGTACTTATATAGCATATAAGTACTTATAGCATAATTACCTTGGGAAATATTATTTTGTGTCACCATTTGACAGATATAATCCTTCAGTGTAGTTTTACTAGTGGTAGGGAAAATTCTTCCTAGTCCTTTAATTAATTAGTTCTTTTTTTTTTTTTTTTTGGTACCAGGGATCAAACTCAGAATGTTGCACTTGCAAGGCAGGCGGCAGAACCACTGAGCTAAATCCCCGACCCTATGTAATTAGTTCTTAACTAAAAGGAATCAGAAGGGAGGTGAGCTCCCTGCAAGTTGCATTCAGTGGAAGCCTGTATTCTTGACCATATTGGTAGTGGAACAGGGACTAGGATCCTTAGGGATTTGGTAAGGATGGAAGAACAGGAGGTGGAGGAAGGGGAGAATGAATATGAAAACCCATAATTTTAAATTTTATTTTTGCACCTAGTGCTTATTGATTGGTTTGCACTTGGAGATGGGAAGCCATGTGTTACAGCAACTGATTATGTTAATAGAAAAATATCAATAGCTTATCCAATTAGTATATACAAAATAGAGATTCACACTGTTGCCTATTTCATACTTTGAAAAATAAAATTCATCACATTGACTTTTTCTTTTTCTTTTTGAAGGAAATATAATAAAATTTACTGGATCACTTATTTTAGGGTAAGTATCAACTGCAAAATACAAATTGGCTTCATTATATTACTCTTTGAAGTATCAATGGAAGTGATTTATAGGTAGCATGGAGTGGCCCAAAGATATGATTTAACCACTGGTTTGACCACGTCTGTGTTATCTTCAGTTATTGTCCTGTTTCCTGGGGCATGTTTTCTTTTGGGTCCAAGTGTGCCCAGGGATTTTCTGCCTGCCTGGCCTTGTAGCTGTGTGGAGAACACTTGACACACACATAGTATCACTCTGCCAACCTCTGCACTCTTAAAATCACACCTTATATTAGGTCCTAAAGTGGATGAAGAGGCTAAAAATTGACTAGTAAAATTTTTTTGAATTAATAAATAAACAGTTTTTTAAGATTAAAAAATTATTTTTGAAAATCCTGTAATCAGGGTGGTGGTGGTGGTGGAAATGATCAAACTATGTTATGTGCATGTTCCCGCTATTCTGCGTAAGTAATATATACTAGTAATCATAAGAAGAAAATCACAGAAATTGCCCTAAAGCTCTCAAGAGAGGAAATTGAGGCCAACTGAGAAGACCAACAGATTGATCTTCGCCATCTTACGCTTCTTTAGAGGCACATGTGCAATCGTTGGCATGGCTGTCTTTCTAATAACTTATTTTTCATTTTCTTTTTTTAATGCTGAATATTTGTTTAATACTGTATTATACTTGTTTCACTAATATAAAATCAATGCAGTACATTTCTTTATGATGTAGTAGATATTTAGATAGTTTTTTCCTTTGACTCATTCTGGGCAAAGGATAAATGTGTACCCTTTTTTTAAAATTTATTTTTATTTATTTATTTTTTTGGTACTGGGGATTGAACTCATGTCCTTGTGCTTGCAAGACAGGCAGCGGAACCACTGAGCTAAATCCCCGGCCCCTCCCTGTGTACCCTTTTTATAATCCAGTTTCTTGGTTTAGATTATAGCTATATTCAGGAATATAGTGCAAATCACAGGACTTTTAGTAAAGAACTTTGTCTTTCTTGGAAAGTGTGGTTAAAGTACAAAGTTTGCTCCTCTTACTTGCTCAGATGGATCCCCAAGAGAGCAGAGAATTCTTCGGAGCCCTCCCTATATTCCCCTGGTATGGTCTGGGTGTGGATTTTCTGTCTCAACTGCTTGCCTTAGGGTGGAAACCCGGGTCAGCAGGAGGCTTAGGTTGCTGAGCTGTGGGTCCAGATGGAGTGCAGCCTTTGTCTGGATTTAGGAAGTATAGGTCAGTGTCATTAGGAAGAAAAAAATCTTTATTTGGGTATACAACAAACACCTTTGTATTTCACATTTAAAATAGACTTTGGATATAGCTGTTAGGAAAGAAGAAACCTTTATATGCTGGTGAGAGGGGTGTAAGTTGGCTAATCTTATTTGAAAAAGAGTTTGGTATCTAGTGAAGTTGATATATCAGTATGTAATTCTGCTTTTAGATACGTACCCTTGAACATATGCACGTGTGCACAATATAGATGTATAAGATGTGTAACAATATTATTTGTAATAGATTCAAATTAGATACTGTATGTGAATATGCCCATATCCATGTGGTAAAGTGTATATGTTATATGTGGTAATTGATACAATTGTATATCATCAAAATATAAATGCAGGAACAACATTTACATGCAACAACATAGGTAAATCACATAAACAGAAGGCTGATAAAAATGTATATAGTGTGATTTCATTTCATATGAATTTCAAAAACAGGCAGAACTGAGCTCTGTGGTTTAAGTTGCATATATAAGTGGTAAAACTATAAAAAGCAAAATTATAATAAAAATCAGAACAATAATTGTTTTTCAGTTTTTAGTTTTTTGAGACAGAGTCTTGCTCGGTAGCCCAGGCTGGCTCCAAACTCATGGCCGTGCTTCTGCCTTAGTCTCCCAAGTGCTGGGATTATAAGTGTGTGCCACCACACCTGACAAAAAATCAGAATAATTACCTGTAGACATGAGAGAGTTAGGTCAAGGAGAGGGACATAGTTGGCTTCTGGGGTACTGTTAATATTTTGTTCCTTGCCTGGATATGATTATGCAACTATTTGTTATTTTAAACTGAGATATATATGTCTACATACATATTAAAAAAGTATCATTTGCATGTTACTGTATATTTCTAATAAAAAGAAATTTCACTATGAAAAGCTTAAAGAAGAGTAGCTCCTTTGTTACATTTAGATCATATATTTATGATGGTTTTTTTTATCTTTTAAAGAGGTTCTTTATTTCTAACATATGAAATTCTGGCTCTGAAGAAGTCTTTGACATTAGATACTCAAGTGGTAGAAACAGAAAAAATGAAGTCATACATATATGTTCACACAGCTTCTTTAAACAGAAGAGAAAGTCATGGTAAGTTTATTGTAAAGTAATCTCATCTTTGTGAAAATTGGTAGCTAGTTATTGAATTTAAAAATGAATCTATTTGCTGGGCATGGTGGTGCATGCCTATAATCCCACTACTCGGGAGGCTGAGGCAGGAGGAGGCCCCATGAGTTCAAGGCCAGCCTAGAGTACATAGGGAGTTCAAGGCCAGCCTGAACTACACAGTGAGACCCTGTCTCCAAAAATGAAGTCTTTAAATTGCAGCATTAATAAGGTAAATCAGCTTACTTTAAGAATCACCAAGCCCTGAGAGCTCAGTTTCCTAAAGTATTAATTGAAGTTCACATTTTAGATTTATATGTTTGACCCAAGATTGCAGCTCTCCTAGAACCGAGTGGAGTGAAGACTAGCTGGCTGTTTGAGTCTGAAGCTGGAATTCCCTCCTCAGTGGGGGCCATTAGTTCAGACATTTTACAAAGACATGATTTTGTCATTTAGCTCAGAGTTTTTGTTTGTTTGTTTTCAGTACCGTGGATTAAACCCAGGACCTTTGCACTGAGCTACATTTTTAAATTTTTTTAATTTTTTAGAAGTTGACACAGGATTTTATGAAGTCACTAAGCTGCCCATCCTGGGCTCAAACTTGTGATTCTCCAGCCTCAGCGTCCAGAGTGCTGGGATTATAGGTGTGTACTACCATGCCTGCCTGATATTTTGCTCCAAGGGATTTATTCATGGAAATCAGACTCATTAGATAATTTATAAATATGAATACCAACTCATTATTATCAGCCACAAAAGCTAAAAAAACCTATCTTTACTAGTTAGGACATTGCTTTTCTCAATATTTAGGTCACACGCAAGCCTGCCAGTTTCTTGGTGAACGTGAGTTTAGAGCACAGGAGTATATTTTCATCAGCTATGGGTAGCTTGGTAAGTCTCCAGCTTGACTTACAGCTGCCTGTTCCTACCCTGTCAGCCAGGATGAGCCTGTGAGCATGTTACGATCCTCGTGCAGCACAGGCTGCACTGCTCCGGGTCTCTAAGCTGTATGTATCACTATACTATTTGTTTTTTATTCTGTCATCTTCCTATCTTTCAGCATGCTTTTATGGTGTATGTGCAATTTCAGTTGCATAAATTATTACTATATCTTAAAATTTACCTATGTAGTGAAGCTTAATCTCACTAGTAAGGTATCTCCAAATTTGAGTTCTAGATGGTCAGATTATAAAGGTCATTATCCTATATATTACTAATCTTAAACATGAGGATTTTTTGGTACCAGAGATTGAACACAGGACCTTGCACTTGTGAGGCAGGTGTGGTGCCACTGAGCTAAATCCCTGGCCCTACATGAGGATTTTTGATAGCTTTAGTGTTCTTGTTTTTACTTTTTCCATGGCTTGGAGAAAGATCTTATTTTGAAAGCCAGAGCTTTGTATTTCCATGTGGTTTTAGTTGCATTGATCCTGTTAATAAAAAGATAAAGATACTGTTTTATATTTTTTGTGAAAAAATTTGGGGCTTATGAATTTGTTTTTGAAGTATTGGAATGTAGCATTAAAAGTGCATATTTGGTTGTAAGTTTGTAATCATTTTAGGGATTGCCTGGCAGGCAAGAAAAGAACTTCACAAAGCAGTAAGAAAAATATTGGCAGCATCAGCCAAGTTATTGCAGAGTCCATTTGCTGGTAAGTGTCAGACATTTAACTTGAATCCTCACCAATAATCTGGAAGTCATTTAAGTGACCAATTTGAGATTTAAAAAAAATATATATATATATGTGTGTGTATATATATATTATATATGTATATATATAATATATATATACATATATAATATATATATATATATTTGGCTTTTTTAAGGCAAGGTCTTATTCTGTCATCCATGCTAGCCTTGACTAACCTTAAACTTGTAATCCTCCTGCCTCATTCTCCCAAGTGCTGGGATTGCAAGCATGCATCACCATACCCAGAGTATATTAATATGTGTAATAGCTATGGAAATTTAATTGAGTAACATTATTCTCTTGGGCTGTATTTAACTTTAAGGATTTAGTGATTTACATATTTCTTTGTAGATGTATTGTTAGCTTGTTGTAACTAAATATTGAGATTAAATATGACCTATTCTGTTGATGAGTGTTGTAGAATTTTAACTTGTAAGAAAAATCACTCCTGTGCTTTCTCATAATGAGAATATTGCATCAAAAGTTTAGATTTTATAATCAGGAAATCTACAATGTGGAGTTGGCGCTAAAAAAAGCTGACCTGATCTCTTTACAAAGTTTTTTGTTTGCTTTGTTTTTGTTTTTTGAGACAGGGTCTTGCTGTGTAGTTCTGGCTGGCCTTGAACTTGCTATGTAGCCCAGGCTGGCCTCGAACTCATGGCAATTATTCCACCACAGCCTCCCAAGTGCTGAGATTACAGATGTCTGCCACCATACCTGGCTCTTTACAAAATTGATATGAAGAAGAATACATGAGAAAACTTTCTAGAATTAAAAGATAGTAAAGAGAGTTTACAAATCCTGATTTTTATTTTATTTTATTTTATTTTATTTTATTTTATTTTGGTGATACTGGAGATTGAATTTAGGGTCTTTGCACTGAGCTACATCGCCAGCCCTTTTTAAATTTTAAGATAGGGTCTTGCTAAATTGCCAAGACTGTGTTCAAACTTCTGTCCTTCCTGCCTCAGCCTCTCAAGTGGTAGGATTACAGCTGTGTGCCACCATGCCCAGATCAAATCCTGGTTTCAAAACATTTTTAAAAATATTTTCAGGAAGTTGGGCATGGTGATGCATGCCTGTACTCCCAGCAATTTGGAAGGCTGAGATAGGAACATTGCAAGTTCAAGTCCCACCTGAGCAATTTAGCAAGACCCTGTATGAAAAAGTAAAAGGGTTGGGCACATAGCTCAGTGACAGTGTCTGTGGGTTTGATCCTCAGTACCTGAAAGACAAGAAGTTAGTAAAGAAGGGAGTGGGTGGGAGAGATTTTTGAAAGAAATTTGACATGGAGCTAGGCTGAATATAAGATGGCTTTGGGAAATTTTTGTCATTGTTCTTGGATGTGATAGTAGTGGCTGTGTAAGAGAATGCAGGCTTTTTCTTATGAAATGCAGGTTGAATTATGGAAGGGTAAAATGTTATATCTGTAACTTCCTTTCAAATAGTTTATATATACATGCATATGTTGTCGGGTAGCCTCCTTCTAAAAGTGGCTCGCCAACTAAACATTACCACGTTCTGTTTCTAGCCTCTCCCTTTGGAGTTAGATTCCAGATTCTTCTCATCTCAAACAAAGCCTTGAACAAAATGAGCAAAAACTAGTGGCCAAGTTTATTTGAGAAAATAAAAATGAAGAGTGGGGGAGAAACTAGCTCTGCAGAGTGAACTTGGGCCAAGTAAAGAGAAAAAGAGGGTAAAAGCAAAAATAAAAGTACACGCTGTGTCCTTGGAAACGCAGTGAGGGCTATTGTGGAAATATTATGATGGCAAGCTCTTCATGGTGTTGTCTGTCCTTTATATTGTCCAAATCTCGAGGAAACCCATGAGAACTTTGCATAGAATCCTGAGAGGTTGCACTGGGATCCCACATCTCAGGCTGATAGCAGGCCTAGGCCATCCTGTTGAAAACCTGCTTGAGTTCTCCAGAGAAGTCCACATGCAGGACTTTGGGAACTGTTCTGTGCATGCCAGGATCTTATAATTAACAGGTCACGCCCACATCTCACCCAGCTTTGCCACACCATACTCTATCTCATATAGCTAAAGCAAATATGGCAAAATAGCAGTTATTGAATACTGATGCGATAGGCATATGAATATTAATATGTCATTCATTCAATTCTTTACATATTTGATCTGCTTTAAAATAAAATGTCTTTTAGAGAGAAAGAGGAAAAAATGACCACATAGTGAAAAACACTATACTATATGAAACAAAAGCACATGGGGGATTTAACTTTCTTGTAGTGAATTCCAAATATAAATTATCATGTGAAATCTAGATTCTGTTTTTTGTATAGGGGATCGAACTCGGGACCTTGCACTTGTGAGGCAGGAGGTGGAACCACTGAGCTAAATCCCTGGCCCAGCTATGTGAAATAGAAACAGGATAAAATGTCATTCTAACTGTTCACATTTTTCTTGTTTTTAGTGTTTGTCCTTTTTTTTTCAAAGGTACTTTTAGTACGGTTGATGTAGAAGATCACGAATGTGCCGTGTGGCTGCTCCTGAGGAAGAGCAAGTCAGAGGACAGAACCGCACGACTCGAGGCTGTGCAGGAAATGGCAGAGGCCCACCAGTGGCATGGTAATGAGACCAGCTGAATTGTGGCACTCCATCACCTAGCTCATGATTTCTGGTACAAAAGAGGAGGGAATCAGGTGAAGGAAGAAAAATAATTCAGGAAGTTTTAACATAAAATACAGTCTATGTTTAAAAGTAAAAAAACACATTACAATAAAAGACATTAAACTACAGTACCACTGTATTATTTAATTGCTTGCTACACTGTACAATTATATTTGCTTTCATTTTGACAACCTACTTGACTCTAATACTAATAATTAACTACATTTACCTTGTTTATATGTATATATTATAATTTTTTATGAATATATTAAATATTTGTATTTAAAAATCATAGGTTTTGCAATAGAAAACTATTTGGATAAGCTCAAATGTGCTCTGATTGTAGTATAGACTGAACTATAATTTTTTAGTAGAATCATCTTGTAAAAATGAATGAGAAATAGGAAAGAATAATGTTCTCAAAGAAAAGTCTCAAAATAAGATTACTGCCTCCATATAAATTAATTCATTCATTGGTTGGTAGTGATAATTGTAATAATTTACAAGTTCAGTATGACTGGAGACTTAGAAGAAAAATCTTTTTTCAAAATCTGCCTTCCAGGGCTCCATTCTAGACTCACTAAATCAGAAAAATTAGAGAAGGAGCCCTGGCACGTAGATTTTGAAACAGTTCTCCACCTGATCCTGAGGTACTCACTGAGATTATCAGCTGCTGTTTTTGGAAAAGAATGTCAGCTTCAACAGTTGGAATTTTATTTTTTATACGTAAAGAATGACATGTTTAAATCAGAGTACCACTATCTATTCATGGGTATCACAGATACTGGGCCTGCCTAGTATCATAACATCACCACTGAACTTAGATTTCAGGGGAGCTTCTATTGTTTTGAGTAGTGAGGAAAACAGCTTTTGAATGCTAGGATTATTTAAAAAGTTGTTAAATGGATGCTGACTTAGCAGTTTTTGTTTTTCATTACTTGAGTTTCATTTTTTCCAAAAAATTAGACCGTAACTCAGTCCTTATATACAGTAAATATTGCAGAAGATTGTAAGATCGGTCATGGAAATGTTGAGTGTCGATATTGTAAATATTGTAAATGTAGTTGTAATTGTGAAAGAATACGTGGGAAATTTTGGAATATAATATATAACAGTTTAAAAGTTAGAGTTCTTTCGAGTAGTTTGTTCATTTAATCCTTGTGACAATTATAAGCTAATTCAGGTGTTTATAAAAAATATACTTTTACAACAGATTATCAATATAGGACAGTTGCTCAAGCCTGTGATCCGAGAACTCTTGTTGGTTTGGCACGAAGCAAAGACAGTGATCTTCGCTTTTTTCTCCCACCACCTCTCTTGCCACCTTTAAAAGAAGTAAGTAAATAAGATAATGCACAAAGTAGAAAATAGTTTATTTTTATGTATTAGTACATGTTTATGATACATAATTGAAATATTCGTCTTGGGAATTGGTACATACACTGTACATATCACATTTTAGTCCTTTTTATTTCCCCTGGAAAATAGTTTAATATATTCTCTTAAATTTAGGTGCAAAATAAACTTTCCAAAAGTAATTGTTGGCTACTTTTCACAAGCAGGTAAACTAGGATGTAAAATTGAAATTACATTTTTCATGCAAAGATTTGATTCCTTAGGCGGGACTATTTATTTCTCTTATATTATTTTCTGTCTTGGGGAATAGGAATCTCTGTGATTGGGTAGTTTCCTATTATAGCATATTGATATCTGAGTTTGCTATAGATCAGGTTTTTTCAACTTTAACCCTATTAACATTTTGGGCCAAATATTCTATGTTGGAAAACCCTGTTTTGTATACTACAGGTTGTTTAGCAGCATCCCTGTATTCTATTCCCAAGAAGCCAAAAATACCCCCAGTTATAACAACTGAAAGTGTCTTCAAACATTGTTAGTTATTTCTTGGTGGGAAAAATAGCCCCCAGTTGAGAACCATTGCCACAGATTTAAAGGATATTTCTTGAGAACCTTTCCTAGACTAGGAAATGAAATTCTTAAAACTTCAACATGAGCAGTTTTTTTAAAAATAGAAAAATGAGAGCTGGGGATTTAGCTTAGTGGTTCCACCACCTGCCTCGCAAGTGCAAGGTCCTGAGTTCAATCCCCAGTACCAAAAAAAAAAATAGAAAAATGAATATCTGGAATGCTGGTTATTAGAGAAAATGACCTGATAATGAGTTTTATCAGAAAATGAGATTGTAAGGAGTAGCAATAACTTTGTTTAGAAAGGGTGTAATAATTCATTTTGAGTCAAGTTGTTAAGAAGCCTAGGAGGGGAAAGTTGAGAGTTAAGATTTGCTGTAGGTCTTTCAGATACAGTATCAGACAAGAAAGTATAGAGTTCAACATTAAATGATTATTTTCCTGAAGGGTGACTGTTTTAAAAACTCAAAGCACTAATTTATCTGTTAATACCTATGTATACGTATATATGCACTTATATGTGCATATGGTTTGGCTTTGATTCTTTTGAGTATTTTTTAATTTAACTCAGTTGTTTGGTTTATATTTTCTTTTTATTTCAGGATTCGTCCACTGAAGAAGAACTCAGGCAGCTGCTGGCTTCCTTGCCTCAAACGGAGCTAGACGAGTGTATCCAGTATTTTACATCCTTGGCTCTTAGTGAAAGCAGTCAGAGTTTGGCTGCTCAGAAGGTTTGTTCATTTACTTATTCAGAAAATAATTTTGAGTGCTTACACTTTCTAAAATGATGTGCCAGAGGCCAGCAGCTAGATCCCTAAAACAGCCATTCACTTAGATACTGAATGAACATACCGAGTTCTGTTTGTGTACCGTGCACTAGGCCGGGTATCTGGTAAATAAATACTCACAGAACTGTGCAAAAGCAATATGAGTTACTTCAAGAGCCCTTAACTCTGGTTACAGGTCATTTATATTCAAAAGTGGAAACTCTTGGGGCCAGGGATTTATCTCAGCGGCACCGTGCCTGCCTCGAAAGCGCAAGGTCCTGAGTTTGATCCCCCATACCAAAAAGAAAAAAAAAGTGGAAACTCTTAAATTGAATCTTAAAGAATGAATACATAATAATTACTAAGGTATTGAGGATCACCTATATAACGATTTTTCGTTGACTGATATATTTAACTCTGTTCTTACTTAAGCTTTAGATTTGATTATTCAGCCTCCTACTTAGTATCTGAGCTTGGATGTGTGACAGGACTCTCAAGCTTAACAGATTGAACCTGCCCTCTCTCTAGAAAACTGTTCTTTTGTTCTTTCACCTCAATGAATGGCATAGGATCCACTTAGTAGCTTGCCCTAAGCACTAGTAATCCTGCTCAGTTTCTTCCTTGTACACCCAGCTCGGCAGCAGCTCTTGGAGTGTCCCTGCAGAACACAGTTTGAGCCTGTTTTCCTACCATCCTGCTCCTGGCTCTTACTTCTTCTCCACAGTATCCTGTTCTTTTATCTTGCCCTTTATTCTTTGACTTCCTTAATAATTAAAAGAAATCTCTTTTAAATTCTTGTATTATTTCACTTTTTGGTCGTATCACCTAGTAGACCTCAGCTTCAGCTTGCCTGGCATCTTTTTTTTCCATGCTTTTTTTTTTTTTTTTTTTTTGGTACTGGGGATCGAACTCAGGTCCTTGTGCTTGCGAGGCAGGTGGCAGAACCACTGAGCTAAATCCCTGGCCCTTCCATGCGTTTTTGACCTGTCTCCTCTCCCTGTACTCACTGAGGTCCTGCCATGAAGGCCTTTCCTCTCCATTGCCAAGTATGTATCCACTTACGTTCCCTCTGCCTGGAACCAGTGCCTGCAGCTTGTCATATGGTTGCCTGTTTTCCAGTCTTAGCTGAGAAACTCTTCAAACTCTCCTCTTCAAGTGTCCATTGTGTAGATTGCCCTTCATAACACATACTCCATTCAGTAATTATTTTATACAGTGTGTTTATTTACTTGCTTATTTAAAAAAATTTCTTAGTCTCTTCCAATAGTTTCCTCTCCAGTACTGAGTACAGTACCTCATAAAGAATATTCCCTCAATAAATAACTATCAAATAATGAATAGATGAATCATAATATTGCTAAAAAAGCCAGGCTGTGTACAAACTTATATTTGGCTTAAGTAAATAACAACTGGGATATTTCTGTTATGAATCGAAGTATTTTTGTGTGTCAAAGACAAAAATAAAGGTAGCCTTGAGGATTACACTTAACTGGAATGTAGATTATATGGTAAGAAATTATCTGTATTAAATCATTTGGCTATATAAACTTGTTAAAATACTTTAATACCGTATTAATTCAAAGTTCCATTGAAACTCAATTTGAGGATCATCATCTATTTATTTATTTAAATAAATTTTATTTTATCCCATTCCCCCATCAACCCCCCTCCCCTCCCTATGTACAAAAGCTTTGTTTTGAGGATCATAATTTAAAATATTTATATACAAAGTGTCTGATTGTATTACCTATAATTAAGATAATATGGATATAAGTTTTTTAATAACTCACCTGATTGACATTTTCTCTTATGGTTTATTATTGTTGCCTTTAAATTTTTATTTTTACCCTTTTTGTGTCAACATTGTCAGCTCTCTCCACTTTGTCCATTTCTGTAATCCTTAAGAAATTGCTTTTTCATGGCCCTTATGGAACTTGAAATGTCTTTATTAATTAATTTCTTTATTGGTCCTGAGGATCGAACTCACTTGCAAGGCAGGTGGTGGAACCACTGAGCTAAATCCCCAGCACTCATTTATTTATTTTTGAGACAAAGTCTTGCTATATAGTCCAGGCTGGCCTTGAACTCATTGTGTAGCACAGACTGGCCTTTAACTTGTGGTGATCCTCCTGCCTCAGCCTCTGCTGTGCTGGGATTACAGGTGTGTACCACTGTGCCTGGCTTTATGAATTTATTTAACCTTGTTATATCTCAATCCAGTAATAAAGAAGCAGTAAATATGTCTACTTATTTCATGTTAGGGGTAAGAATATAATATCCTGAGTGAATATTTTTGCATTTATTTGTTTTTGCTTGTACTTACTACCACACAATCTATCAGTTCATAAATGGCTTGCAAACTTTGCCAACAAAAATAGAACTAGGACTGTACTCTTATTTTACACTACACAAGTAATCAAGAAAAACTAAAGTCCTAGCTAATTTCTGTTTTTTCCCCTTTCTTTCCTTAGGACATTTAGTGTAGAAAGAAGTTAGATGATTTGAGAAGAGGCATTTGGGGGAACCAGGTTGTGGTCATAAATCTTTTTTCCCCTTAGTGCTGGGGATTGAACTCGGGGCCTTGTGCATGCTAGGCCATAGTGATACATCTTGTTAAAGAACTTACACTCAAAGTCTACCAGTCCTCATTGAAGAAAAATAGCTTTTAATGAGTTGTTCTCCTCACCATTCTTAGTTTAAATAGTGTGAACCTTTGAGATTCAAGCATGTTTAAACTTGGAAAACAAATAGTATTTGGAGAAGGCACAAATAAAAATTATAAAATGGCCCAAACATTCTTTCAGTATTGAATTAGTTTATTGAACCCTGGACCTTATAAACTAACTCAAAGTGCTAAACCTTCCAAACATTATTTCATACAGAAAACACTGGACTTGCCAGATGTGATGGCACATGGCTGTAATCCCAGCATTTGGGAGGCTGAGGCAGGAGGATTGCTGTGAGTCTGAGAGCAGCCTAGAATACATAGTGAATTCAAGGCCAGTCAGAACTATACAGTGAGACCCTGTCTCAGAAGAAAAGACTGGTCTTTATATATGCCTTTTTGAAAGACATTACCTTGTAGTTGTCAGCAGGTGGTCTTTGTGTACACAGTTACAACCCCTAGTTCAAAGTGAAGCTCTTGAAGGATATCAGGTATATTCTGGGTGATATGGCCATAGAGGAGGTGAAGCTCTTCAAAAGGATGCAGTAGCTGGATGTGGTGATACCTATAATCCCAACACTCTGAGAAACTGAGGCAGCAGAGTCACAAATTCAAGCCCAGTGTGGGCAACTCAGTGTTTTAGTGAGACCTTTTCTCAAAAATTAAAAGGGGCTTGGCATGGTGCCACACTTTTTTTTTGGTACTAGGAATCGAACTCGGCACCTTGTGCTTGCGAGGCAGGCAGCGGAACCACTGAGCTAAATCCCTGGCCCCAGTGCCACACACTTTTAATCCCAGAATTCTGAGAAGCTGAGGTAGGAGGGTCGTAAATTAGAGCTCAGCCTTGGCTACTTAGTAACTTGGCATCTCAAAATTAAAAATAAAAGGGGTGGGGATGCAGCTCAGGCAGTGCAAAGGCATTGGTTTCAATCCTCAGTAATACAAAAAAGAAAAACCAATGTCTTCCCTCTATCCTTTTCAACCTACCTATCCCAAAACACACACACACACAAATGTCACACATACTCGTATTGCACACACAGACACACTGTTTTTTACACAAATGGTAATATATGATACATTGTTCAGGACCATCTTTTTCTCACTTAAGGTTTTTTTTGGAGCTGCTATGTATCAATATATGAAGAGTCTCAAAAATTTTTATACCTGAACCGTAATTATTTAACTGAACCCCTATTGATTAGTATTAGATTGTTGTTAGTCTTTTATAAACAATACTGCAGTGAATAAATACACTTTTCCAGTGTGTATCGTCATAGGATAAATTGTTAAAGGGCAAGAGCACTTGTACTTTTGATAGGTGATGTCCGGGTGTCCTCCATAGAAGTTGTGCTGTTGATATTACCAATGATATTACCAATATCAACTTCACTTCAGGAACTTCACCCATCTGATGAAATTGTAGTTTCTTAGTGTAGTGTCAGTGTTCATGCAGAGTCTTATTATGAACAGTGGTAAGTATTATTTCATATTTTAGATGCATTTTCATTTCCTGTGAACCTTCTGTTTATAACTGTTGCCCACATCTCTTTCTTTCTTTTTCTCTTTTTAATTTTTGAGACAGGGTCTCACTATGTAGCCCAGGCTAACCTTTCCTCTTGCCTCAGCCCCCCAACTGCTGGGATTATAGCCATGTGCTACCATGCCCTGCACGGTTTTGTTCATATTTCTATAGCATTGTTGATATGTTTCACACCGATTTATGAAAGATTATTGTATATTAGTATTAACCCTTGATCTGTGTTGAGTTGTAAAAATTTCTCCCATTTTATTCTCTATACTATATTTTAATTTCTGTTACTATTACTTTTCTAAGTTTAAAATTTTCCTAGCTATTCTTATTATTCCATGTGAACTTGAATTTCAACTTGGGAAGAATTGAAAGCTCAGCGATCATTATCATCATGGTCTTTAATTTATCCTATAATGCTTTTTTCTTTTTAAAAAATTTTGATTATTAGACTTGCAGTAGACCTTGTTAGTATAATCTGAAAATCACATACTGTACAAATTACTAGTCGCTGAAAGAGATGACAGATCATTATGATCAACCCTGGGCTTTTCTTATTTGATAAAGAATTGTGTGTTGGTCTTCATCCTTTTCAAATGAGAAGATACTGAGGAAAAAATGAAGAAAGATGCAAAGATTGTACTGTTCTGATAATAATTCCATGTATTTTCTAATAAGTAACATAAATTTGCATATAGTTCCCTTTAAGTTTCTAAAGTATTTTGAGGCCTTTACATATTAGAACGTTTTAAGGGCTGGGGATATAGCTCAGTGGTGCCGCCGCCTGCCTCACAAGTGCAAGGTCCTGAGTTCGATCCCCGGTACCAAAAAACAAAACAAAACAGAACATTCTAATACTGCATATAGTACAAATATATTTTTTTATTTTTCAGTGAAAATCTTAACTGTCTTAATTTCAGGGTGGCTTATGGTGTTTTGGAGGAAATGGACTTCCTTATGCTGAAAGTTTTGGAGAAGTTCCTTCAGCTACAGTGGAAATGTTTTGTTTAGAAGCCATAGTAAAACATTCTGAGGTAATTTGCACATTGAACTTGTGGATTACTTTGGATGGTTACATTGAAAAAAAAATGTATAGGTTATTTCATGCAAGGGAAATAACTCTCCTTTATTATAAAAGGTTAAAGAAAAGTTTTTCACTTTTTTTCATTTATTTTTAAATTTCTGCTTTTCTTCATTTGTTAGAATTGATAATCATGATTTAACTCCAATACACAAGCTTCATTTTTGCTAAGTATTTCTAAAAATTCTTACTTCCATATAAAGCATCTTATTGCTTAAATATAGCATTCACTTTTGAATTGTTCTGTCTTCTATTATCTTTCTGAGATCATTTTTGCACATATTACCAGATAGTTAATTTCCATTAAAACATCTGCCAAAGATGTGGAAGATAGGGAAAAAGAAATATTGGGTGACTATATACCATTGGTGGTGAGCATATGGCACTCCTAGTGCGTCAAGCTTTTTGAATCATTGAAAGCTCTAAAAGTTTTGCCATCGCTGCTATATACATTTGAATTATAACTATAGCATACAGCAATGATTTTTAAATTTTTTGGCATTATGGAATGTTTTCTGTTGTGATCAGAAATTTAAAAAAAGAATAAAGCAACAAGCCTGTTGCAGAAATGTAATCCATAAACATCACTCAAGAATCATGTTTAAAAATGCATGTTTCCTGCTCATCTCTGACAGTTTGAACTGGCATGGAATCCAGGAATTTGCATTTGTAGCAGGGATCTCGGGTAAGGTTGGTACAAGTGGTCCCCTCAAATCAGCAGAAACACCATCTGAACTCTCTATTTAATTTTGGAAATGATTAGACATGGTTTAAAAGCATGGTGCTTTCTAGCTATTTCTCATTCCCACCCATGGAATGAGGTACTAGCTATGAAGTGGAGTGAATATAGGATTGTAGGAGGGATGTGGGAAGACAGTCCATGTGATGTGACTTCTGAGTGCTTCTGAAGGAATGAATGTATTTGGAGCAGAAAGCACAGTGCATGGCATTAATCTTTCCAGAAACCTTTCAGATTAGCAGAGTGCACTTGGTGTATATCTAAAAGGCATACTTTGTAGTGCACTTAAAATGTGATAAAATTTAACAGACATTTAGAAGATGAAATTTGTCATATATACATGACATTGTGTCATGTCAGTGCGTAAAACTCATGCTACAAAGAGACAAGACTGCCTAGTGATATCAGGCAGTTTATAATGACTTGGTCAATTCTGGTACCTTAATACACATATTTTCTTTTTTTTCTTTTATCTCTTTTCTCCATTAAGAATTCAAGTCCCGGGGCCGGGGATTTAGCTCAGTGGTTCTGCTGCCTGCCTCACAAGTGCGAGGTCCCAAGTTTGGTCCCCCATACCCCCCCAAAAAAATAGAATTCAAGTCCCCCTGGCAAGTACAAGGTCCTGAGTTTGATTCCCAGTACCAGGAAAAAAAAAGAATTCAAGGCCCTTTTCAAGTCCCTCCTGAGTTTTAGGCCAGCCTCGTTGTGGGCATGGTGAAGGGTAGAGTGTAGGATTACAGATGTCATTTGTCTGATCACTGTGAGTCCTTGTTTGTGGAAGCAAAATCTACCTGGTTGCACAGTGGACTATTTCCTGTTATCAGGTGGCAGATTTCTCAAGATTGGAAAACCATTTTAAGGTAGTTTTAAGCTAAATTATTATGATAAGTTGAGACAATTTAAAACATTTTTTTAATATTATATTTTTGAGACTGGTCTTGCTGAATTGCAAAGTCACCCAGGCTAGGCTTGAATTTGTGATCCTTCTGCTTCAGTCTCCCGGACTGTTGGGATTACAGAAGTGCAGTACTTCCTCGACCTGCACAGCGTAGGGTCCGAAGCTGGGGAGAGCAGTGGGAGATGAAAAAAATTGTAGAATAGCAAGAAAGAAAGATACATACCAAGATTAAGCTTTATAGCTGGGACCAGGTGGGACCATAGCCTGATGAGCTAATTGCAGCCTGGTGTCCAGTGTGCTCTTTATTTATAGTGTAGGAAGGCGGGGTAACTAGTGCCACGTGGCCCACGTCACAGCTGGACATGATTATCTTGTGATCAGGGCATGCGCAGAAAAGGAACAGTGATACACAATGTAACTGTCTCCTAGGTCTGTGCCATCCAGGATCTACAGTCTACTCTCTATAATCTATGGAGGAGAAAGGGAGTAGGGACTAGGTGAAAGACCATCTTCAGGGTCAGCCTGCGGCACATTACCATGTCCAGTTTGAAAATTTTTAATATTTTTTCTTTTTCATCTTATTTTTATTAAGCACTGCATAGCACACTAACCTGCATGCTATATAATGTACTGCTTAGCCTTCCAGCAGGGTTAGAACTGAGTTATTTTTTTCATCAGTCAGGAAACTGCTTCCATAATCAGTGTTCTCCAAACCCTTTAACACATAGTAAAGATTAACTCCAGAGATGGCCTATCTCTTTCTGTCAAATTCCACAGATATGGAAAATGGGCAGCCCTTTTCTCCTTGCTCCTGTTAGTGAAGTTGTGGATGTGCACAGTGACCTCTCTGGGAAGAAGCAGGCATTTGCCCATGATGACAAATCCAGGGAGAATCTCAAACCATATCTCAGCATGGTTACCTAGACCAAAACCCTCCTGTAATCTTAAGGGTGACTGGGCTTTGGTCTTGAAACAGTTTTTTTAATAGTGACAAACCAAGAGCTAAGCACAATAAGAATACAAATTTTAGAAGTCCTGGTGAAATATGCTTTCTTGGAAGTTCTTCAAAGATTTTGAAATATTCCCCGCATAGATAGGGATATACTTATTTATTTAAGTAAGTTGAAAAAAGAATTTTGAGTAGTCTGTCTGCCTGTCTGTTCTAGAGCAGGAGCCACCTGACCATCCCCATAAGCATGCTGTGTCTTCTTGTATAGTCAATTGTGCGACATAAAGCAAGCTTTCATTAATTTATTGTGCTAGATATCCATACATTGTGATAACATTGAAGCAAATGGAGGCTTGCAACTACTTCAGAGACTGTACCAACTTCACAAGGACTACCCTAAAGTTCAGAGAAATATAATGCGTGTCATTGGAAATATGGCTTTGAATGAACATCTTCATTCTGCTATAGTCCGCTCAGGTAACAACTTTATTATATACTGAGTATTTTTTTATCCTGTCCTTTGCTTTACCACTGCCACTTTTCATGATACATTTATTTTTCAGTAGACTTGAGGCTTTGCTTAGAAATACTATTGTCCTTAGAGCATGTTATTTTGGTAGGGGCAGGAATTATTTGAGACTACAGATTTTCCACAACTAAGGAAGTCAGTGTGTGACACTCACAGAAGAGCAGGATTTGCCATGCTGACCATCTGATTATTTATATAATTTTTAATATGATTTGGCATAGGCCAAAAAGAGGCCCAGTGTACAATTAGTTTATTTTCCCCTTTGCAACTAATAAACCATTGGAGGGGAGATACTTAAGACCAGGTAAATATCTTTTGTTTTTTTTTCAGGCAAATATCTTATTTCTCAAACTCTAAAAATTCCTGGCTGATCCACCCTTGACTTTAAGGGTTGTGAAATGATTTCCCAACTCTGGCTTATGTTCTGCATTTGTTTTTCAGCATTTGGCATTCTAGTAGAAGCAAGAGCCCTCCTTCCCTCTATCTCTTCTACTTCCTTTTTTCTGTCTGTCTTCCTTTCTCCCTCCTTCCCTCTGTTGGTATGGACACATGACTTTCTATTCATAATGGCTCATAATTTGTTGCTGTGCTTAATAATTTGTCAAATTCTCTCAGGTTTGACTAGTGGGAGCCTCAACAGACTTGTCCCTGTGTCCTTGTGATATGCACACATCATTTTGGGGGGACATTTTTACTTTCTGGTATAATGAGATGTTTTGGGCTCATTTCTCTGAGGAACCCTATTTCCTTTTAGTGGAGAATGATTATTGGAGTCCAAGATCTAGATGATGGAAATGCTTATGGTTCCTGGGGTGTCTTTCAATAGAGCAAGATAAGATAGACAGACACATAGACACAAAAAAGTATACACATACCTGGATATATTAATTCTTATACATGTATTAGGAACTATAAATACTTGAGTATTTTTAGACCAACAGAAGATTTAATCTTTTTTTTTTTTTTTGGTACTAGGGATCGAACTCGGGTCCTTGTGCTTGCACAGCAGACAGCAAAACCACTGAGCTAAATCCCTGGCCCCTAGAAGATTTAATCTTGATAAAATCTAGTTCAAGGTTTAGCAACCTTTATATAAAGGACCAAGTAGTAAATATGTTAGACTTCGCGAACTAAATATGGCCTCAGTTGCATATTTCTTCAATTTTTTTTACAACTTTTTAAAAATATAAAAACTGTTCCTTATTATTTCCTTCCTTCTGCTTATTGTGAGTTTAATTTGTTGTTTTCATAGCTTAAGGTAAAAACTTAGATCATAGTTGTAACCTTTCTATTTTTAATTGTATCTTGCCATTTATCAAACCACCCATTCCTTTGCTCAGGAATCTGAAATTTGGGTCAGGTTCTGTGAGGAAGGCCCGCATCTGCCTCATGCATGTAACCAAGGGCAGCACAGCTGTGGGGTAGGGGACACACAGAAATGATAGCTTACTCACATAGCTTTTGGGTTGCTACTGGCTATCATCTGGGAGGTACCAGCCTGAAAGCTGGTGGCGGGGGGGGGGGCACTGGCTCCTTTTCCATATGGCCTAGGCTCCCTTGAAGCATGATGGGCTGTTTCAAGAGCAAAAGCCAGATATATGTTCTTTTATCCTATATAACCTATGTTGGGAAGAATTTCTACCCTAGTCTATTGATTGGAAGGTAGTTGCTAAGACTAGCCCATAACACCTGTAATCCCAGCACTTGGGAGGCTTGAGGCAAGAGGAGCACTGAGAATTCGAGGCCAGCCTGGGCTACCTAGTGGGTTCAAAGCCAGTCTGAAGTACATAGCGAGACCTTGTCTCAAAAAACAAAATAGGGGCCAGGAATTTAGCTCAGTGGCTCTGGCTCCTGCCTCGCAAGTGCAAGGACCCGAGTTTGATCCCTGGTACCAAAAAAAAGCACAAAATGTTTGCCAGGGATTTAGCTCGGTGGTTCTGCTGCCTGCCTTGCAAGTGCAAGGACCTGAGTTCAATCCCCAAAAAAAAAAAAAAAAAAAAAAAAAAAAAAAAATCAAGGAGGGGAGATTGACATTCAAAAAGCCATAAACAGAACATTGTAAAAAAAGAAAAGAAAGGCAAAAAAATAAGAAACCACAATATATCACGAGACACTGAAACCTCTCAGTTGCACTTTCAACCAACAACAGATGCACAAAACAAACAGAAAAAAAACTAAAATCATTAAAATAGAAAAAACAACAAAGAACAAAGCAGAAAATACCACCCGCCCTTCTGCACAGACGTAGAGGCAACAACAAATACCAATTCAAGAAAGAATACAACAGGGATTGCGAAGTTAATCAGGCCTATAAAAAAAAAAATTAAGGACCAAGAAACCAAACAAAACGAAACGAAAAGAACCACTATAAAAACTGTCTTGATGAATGTTCTGTGTGCTCTTTAAAAGAATGAGTATTCTGCAGTTGTTGGGTGACATGTTCCATACATAACAAAAAAAGTTAATTGGTAGCATAGCTAACAGTCTTCTATAGATCGTTACTGAATTTTGTCAGTTCTGTCAGTTATTGAGGAATGTGCTAAATTCTCCAGCTATGATTATGGGTTTGTTTTTCTGTTTAGTGCTGTCAGCTTTCTCTTCCAGGTGAATTGTACATTTTTCCCTATGATTGTATAATTTGTTTGAATTGACAAAGTTGGGTGTATTTGTGGTATACAGATGTTTTGAAATATGTATTCATTGTGAGATGGATAAATTGAGCAAATTAATGTCTGCACTACCTCACATACTTTTTGTGGTGGGAACACTTAAAATTTATTGTCTCGGCAATTTTCACAAATACAAGACATTGTTATTAACTATAGTCACCATGTTGTTTTTATTTATTTATTTATTTTTTTTTTTCTTTTTTGTTTTTGGTACCGAGGATTGAACTTGGAGCCTTGCACTTTCGAGGCAGGAGGCGAAACCACTGAGCTAAATCCCCGGCCTTTATAGTCACCATGTTGAATAGTAGAGATCTTGAACTTACTCCTCCAGCCTATCTGAAGTTTTTTTTTTTGGTACTGGGGATCGAACTCGGGTCCTTGTGCTTGCAAGGCAGGTGGCAGAACCACTGAGCTAAATCCCAGACCCCTATCTGAAGTTTTTATACTTTGACCGACAAGTACACACACACACATATATGCATATGCATGCATGTACCCTCTTGCCTTTCAGTTTTTTGTGTTTTTTTTTTTTTTTTGGTACCAGGGAACAAACTCGGGACCTTTTGCTTGTGAGGCAGTCGGTGGAACCACTGAGCTAAATCCCGGCCCCATTGTTTTTATTATATAACATTTCTGTCTCTGGTAATACTCTTTCATGTAAGTCTGCTTTGTGTCTGTTGTTTTAAAAGCCACACTGGTTTTTTATTATGCTTGCTGTTTGCATCACATACTGTACATTTTATCTTTTCCCCTTCTTTTTTGGTACCTGGGATCAAACTCTGGACCTTGTGCTTGCAAGGCAGGCATGGTACCACAGAGCTAAATCTCCGGCCCCTCCCCTTCTTTTTTTTGAGGCAAGGTTTCACTGTGTAGTCTACACTGATCTTGAACTTGTGATTCTCCTGCCTCAGCCTCCTCAGTGTTGGGATTACAGGTATACACCACCATACCCAGCTTCTTTTCCTCTTTTTTTTTCTTTCACTTTTCTGTGACTTTAAACAAAAGGGAGGGGTGGGGATGGGAAGTAAAAAGGATCAAGATGTGATATGTATATGTACTAATTCCCTGCAATGAATGCATTTATTATATATCATAAACATATACTAATAATAAGGGAAAATTAATTAAAAAGTGGGTTTTTATAAACAGCATATTGGATATAATTGGGTATTTCTTTTAGATTAAGTTTTTTTTTGGTACCGGGGATCAAATTCAGGACCTTGTGCTTTCGAGGCAGGCGACGGAACCACTGAGCTAAATCCCTGGCCCTAGATTCAGTTTTAAAGTCTCTTCCTTTTAATCAGTGTTTGTATCTTTATCTCTAATGTAATTATTGACATTGATTATGTCTGTCATTTTGCTCTTTGCTTTCTGTTACCTCTGTAGTTTGGTCTTTTCTCTTTCTTGATTTTTAAAAATTGAATATATTTTACATTTTGTTCTTTCTCCTCTTTCTTTTTCTTTCTTTCTTTTTTTTTTGGTACTGGGCATTGAACTCGGGTCCTTGCGCTTGCACAGCAGGCGGCAAAACCACTGAGCTAAATCCCCAGCCCTCTTTTTTTTTTTTTTTTTTTTTTTAATGTTACCAGGAATTGAACTCAGTATCTTTTCTTATAAGGCAGGTGCAGTGCCACTGAGCTAAATCCCCAGCTCTTTCATATTTTTATACAGTGTGTGTGTATGTATTTTTTAAAAAGTTAGATCCTTAACTGTATCTTTGAATTAATCTCATACCGTTTCATATAATGTGAGATCCTTACAACACTGCAGTTCATATCCCTGACAAAATGTGTTACAGAGCTTGTGATCCATTGTAACTGTTTTTGTTTGAACAGTTGTTAGTCCATTTTATGCTTTTACAACAAAATATCTGAGGCTGGATAATTTATAAAGGGCAGAAATTTTATTTCACACACTCCTGGAGGCTGAGAAGTCCAAGAACAAGATGTCTGGTTAGGGCTTTCTTGATGTGTCATCACGTGATAGAAGTCAGCAGGAGAAGCCAGCGAATAGTCTAATGCTGCATGAAGCCCTCTTCAGGAAGCCCTGAATTCCACATGTGAGAGAGGAGCCTTTATGCCCTATTTATCTCTTAAAGCCTTCACCTCTTAATACTGTCACACTGCCAACACCTGAATTTCAGAGAGGACACATTCAAATCATAGCAAATGTTATGGCTTGTGTCTAGATGTTCCCCCAAAGCCTCATGTAGTCATAGGGGTGGTTTTTCAGAGGTAGCTGGATCTAGGGTGTGTGGTGCTGAGATTTAAGTGTGTGAT